TGCAAAAGAACTGGATTATAAAAGTAGCATTGTTACAAATATATAAGGTGTTATTGAGACTACACCTGGAATATTTTGTCTAGTTTTGGTCTCCTTACTTGAGGAAGGATGTGGTGGCACCAGTTGAGGTTGACCAGGTTGATTCCAGGGCTGTCATATGAGGAGCAGTTGAATAGCTTGGGCTTATACTCGCTGGAGTTCAGAAGAATGAGGGGACACCTGATTGAGGTTTTTAAAATGTTAAAGGGGATTGATAAGTTGGATGTTGAACAGATGTTCCTCTTTGTGGGACAGTCTCGAACAAGAGGTCATAGATATTGAGTGGGAGGAGGTAGGTTCAAAACTGAGATGAGGAAAAACTATTTCTCTCAGAGGGTTGCGAATCTGTGGAACTCACTGACCCAGAGTGCAGCGTAGGTGGAATCAATCAACAGATTCAAGAAAAAAAAAGGTACGTTTCTGATGAAAAGGGTGATGAAAAGGGGATAAAGGGCAATGGGGAGCAGGAAGGAGAGTGGAGTTGAGACCAGGATAGGATCAGTCACAATCATGTTAAATGGCAGAGGAGGTTCGAAAGGCTGAATTGCTGACTGCCACTCCTAATTCCTATGTTCCTATGTTCCTAACCTGTGTTAGTTTGGCTCAGGAGGAGCTCCGCACTGTAAGAGGGTCAATACTGAGGGAGTGCTGCATTGTCAGAGAGTCGGTATTCAGGGAGTGCTACACTGTTGGAGGGTCAGTGCAGAGGGAGCACTGTACTGTCAGAGGGTCAGTAGTGAGGGAGCACGACACTGATCGAGAATCAGTGCTGAGGGTGCAGTGGTGAGGTGAGAGTGACAGCCCTTAACATCAAGGCCACATTTGACTGAGTGTGGTACAACGGAGCCCTGGCAAAACTGGAATCAATGGTTACAAGGGGACAAACTCTCTGCTGGTTGGAGCCAGACCTGATACAAAGGAAGATGGTTGTGGTTATTGGAGGTCAGTCAATCAACTCCAGGATATCTCTGCAGGAATTCCTCAGGGTAATGTCCCAGACCTAACCACCTTCAGCTGCTTCATCACTGACTATAAGGTCAGAAGTGGAGATGTTCGTCGATGATTGCACAGTGTTCAGCACCATTCGTGACTCCTCAGATACTGAAGCAGTCCATGTCCAAATGCAACAAGATCTGGACAATATCCAGGCTTGGGCTGACAAGTGGCAAGTGACATCCGCGCCACATAAATGCCAAACAATGGCCATCACCAATAAGAGACAATCTAACCACTGCCCCTTGACAGTCAAAGGTGTCACTGTGACAGAATTTCCCACAATTAACAATGGGATTACCATTGACCAGAATCTTAACTGGACTTATCACATAAACATAGTGGCTACAAGAGCAGGCCAGAAGTTAGGAATACTGCAGCCAGTAACTCACCTCCTGACCCCTCAAAGCCTGTCTGCCATCTACAAGGCACAAGCCCGGAGTGTGATGGAATACTCCCCACTTGCCTGGATGGGTGCAGCCCCAACAACACTCAAGAAGCTCAACACCATCCAGGACAAAGCAGCCGCTTGATTGGCACCACATCCACAAACATCCCACTCCCTCCACCACCGACGCTCAGTAGCAGCAGTGTGTACTATCTACAAGATGCACTGCAGAAATTCACCAAAGATCCTCAGACAGTAACTTCCAAACCCACGACCACTTCCATCTAGAAGGACAAGGGCAGCAGATACATGGGAACACCACCCCCTGCAAGTTCCCCTCCAAGCCACTCACCATCCTGACTTGGAAATATATCGTCGTTCCTTCAGTGTCACTGGGTCAAAATCCAGGAATTCCCTCCCTAAGGACATTGTGGGTCAACCCACAGCTGGAGGACTGCAGCGGTTCAAGAAGGCAGCTCACCCCCACTTTCTCAAGGGCAACTAGGGACGGGCAAGAAATGTTGGGCCAGATAGTGACATCTGTGTCGCACAAATGATTAGATAATAAAGCTCTGCACTGTTGCAGGGTCACTACTGAAAATGTGCTGCACTGTCGGAGGGTCAGTACTGAGGGAGTGCCGCACTGTCGGAGGGTCAGTACTGAGGGAGTGCCGCACTGTCAGAGGGTCAGGACTGAGGGAGCATCGCACTGTCGGAGCGTCAGTACTGAGGGAGGGCTGCACTGTTGGAGGGTCAGTGCTGAGGGAGGGCTGCACTGTCAGAGGGTCAGAGCTGAGGGAGTGCCGCACTGTCGGAGGGTCAGTACTGAGGGAGTGCCACACTGTCGGAGTGTCAGTGCTGAGGGAGTATCACACTGTCGGACGGTCAGAAATGAGAAATTGCTACTGCCTCAGAGATGCCAGCTGTCAGATAAGACATTCAACTGGGATCTATGTGTTGGTTGTTTGAGATTCTCTGACCATCACAGATGAGAGGAGTGTTCTCTGACATTGTGACCAACTATTCTCCCTCACCCAAACAGAATGATTAACTGGTTGTTTCACTTCGTTTTTGTGCTAATTATTGGCCAAATTTCCATCTGATACATCAGCCATTAAACTTTTAGGATGGAAAGCAATTAGAGGCACATGTAAAGATTTTCGAATAAACTTTTGACATGCAAAGGTTAGTGATTTCTGAGCTTGTTTTTAAGAACAGAGAACTTTGGCAATTTCTACTTACTCTCCTCGGTGTCTTGCAGATAGCTGTTAATCGACTCCCAAAGGTCACAATCATCAAACTCAAGGGCAAATTCTTCAAAGTCTTCATTTCCAATGAGTTCAAAGGTGCTGGTTCCTGCTTCCTTGTCCTCAGAAGACTCCTCTGTGTCCATCGTCTTCACACAGCAGGAGGCCTCAGCTCAGGCATCAATGTTGTAAGTACCTTCGCACTGAGATGCTTTGGTTACTCCTCTGTGATTTGCAATGGGTTTCAGGGAGGCGAATGGGAAGGTGATGGAGTTATCATCAAACAAGCTGACGTTGAGATGAGAGGCACTGCCGTGGCTGACTGTTTGTGTCCCCGAGGCTTTCATTCCACTTCCATGATGTCAGTCTCCAATCCAATACCCTGTTCCCCGATCGATGGGCTGCGCTTTGGCATTTTCAACTGGTAACCCTTTGGTAACCAAATCCACCAGACTGGCCCATCGCTCTATCTCTCTCTCAACTGTTAACCCTCCCTCATCCAAATCACCATTACCTTCTCTCCACGGAACCACCTCGAAGGTTGGGGGGGATGTTGGGGGACATGTTACTGCACCATTAATCCAGAACCTCCCACCTACTGTTCTTGGGGCATCGACTCGAATCCCACCAATGGGCAGATGGTGAAATTTGAACTCAGTAACATGTTGGTGTTAAAAGCGGGCTTTGTGATGACTATATAATAACTTGCAATGTTGTTAAGAACAAGTCTGGTTCACTGACGTATTTTAGGGCAGTAAATCTGCCATCCTTACCTGGTACGACCAGACCGACAGCAATAAGATTAATTCCTAACTGCCTTGTGGGCAATTAGTGATGTGGAATAAATTCCAGCTTAGCCCAGAGAGGGCAAACCTCATGAATAAATTTAAAAGAAAAAAGAACATAATTTCAAATTCCTCCCAAAAATTCTCCTCCTGTTGAGTTTGCTTTCATTCCGACCCATGTTTCCTGTTTCCCCTTTTCCCTCCTGCTTGCATGCTGTAAGGGACCAGTGACTCAAAATGTTAACTCTGCTTTCTCTCCACAGATGCTGCCAGACCTGCTGAGTTTCTCCAGCAATTTCTGCCTTTGTTTCTGATTTCCAGCATCCACTGTTCTTTGTGGGTGTTTTTTTATTTAGTGTATTCCAGACCCTCACTAACCTCTGGATGAAAAATATTTCCTCAGATCCCCTCTAAATCTCCTGCCTTTCACTTCAAAATGATGCACCCTCATTCTAGAATACACTGTGAAATGCTCTTGATTCTGTTACATCTCACTACCAATCTTCATGCCTTTAAAGGTCAACCATTGGAAGACAGAGTAGAGACAACCGTTACACATCTGTCAAATTCCGGATCCACATTATCCCTGCACTTTTCCATTGTGGGAGATCACCAAGGATCTTCACTGTGTGACATGCTTGTGTGGCATATAGGGACTTAACTGTTCATCCAAGTGCTTTCCCACCTCAGCTACCCTCCCAGGCAGTGCATTCCAGATCCCCACCCGCCCTCTGGGTGAAAAAGGTTTCCTCAAATCCCCTGTAAACCTGTACATTGTGAAGTCACAATCAGAGAAGCCGTGATCTTTTTGAATGGCAGACCAGGCTTGAGGGGCTGAATGGCCATCTCTTGTTCCTAATTCATGCATCTGTATGCAATGCGTTATCGCTGTGTGTTTTAACTGCATGCTATACTTGTGTGTCAACGCTATGAATTATTGCTGTTTGTTATTAATGTGTTTTCGCTGAACCTTATCCTTGTATATTAGCTTGTGTGATGTCATGTGCCTTTAAGAGGGATTTGTCCAGTCCAATTTCTCTCGAAGAGAGGTGTTGTAATCCTGGTGTTCAGGTGCCTGCAGAGTAAATAAACAGCTTTGGGTTTTTTTTTGAAAAAGTAGACAAAAGAAGCATGAGTGGGTGGAGTCGGGCTCACACAGACCCAGGGTTTTAATTTTTGCTTTTAGTTGGGGGTTTTGGTATTGAAGCTGCTAGATACAGCTCTCTCTGCTGCTGAGAAAAAGCTCGAGTTCTCTCTCTGCTGCTAGATTCATTCTGTTGATGTTCCTTCTCCTGGACTGAAAGAGATAGCAAGTGAGGGAATCAGTTTTGCTGAACTTGCCTTTGCCAAGGGTGTGTTTATGGGATGCTGCTGTATTAGAACAGTTGATGAGTTGTATACAAAATATATATTACTTTGTTAAGTATTTCGATAGAATTATGCTGATTCTTCATTTTTTGTTTGTATTTTAATTGTGGTGTGAGAATAAAATACGTTTTGCTTAAAGCCTAGTAGTTTGACCAATCGAATCACATCTGGAATGCAACGTGCCTCTAAATAAGATAAAAGTTATGGTCCAAGCTACATCTTCGATTTGTTTTGAGGGAATTTGATCCGGTTAATAATACTTAGTGCCTCATCTCTATTTGTTAGTCTCTATATGTCCCAGTCCCAGCGGTTTCTTACTTTTCATGTAGTCCAGGTCAGCGCTGGCGAGCATTTGTGCTTCTGCATCATCGGTTGGCACTTTCTGGTACACTGTGACTCCAAGCGCAGTCATACTCCCAATGCAAATCCGTTCCCGCAGATCGTAACGTGCTCGCGGGCCACTCGCAATCCGGGGAGGGTCCTTCTGTCTGTCAGGACTCCTCAGGGAGGACTCAAAGCAATCCTGTAGAGGCTTCAGAAAGCTGCCAGGTGGGGAGGTGACAAAAAAAAAACAAACATTTAAAAATTCAGTTTTATTTCAGGAATCAGTTTGATGGAGTAGAAACACTCCAACTGTCTGGGGATCTGAGTGATGAGGAATGGCAGCTGCCAGAGGCATCTTTGGCTTTGAGCTAAAGATATTGGCAGAAGCTTTGAGATTTTGGGATGGGTCAATTAAAGGGAATCAGCAAAAGAATCAATACTTGCCTGGATGCTTGCAGCTCTGACAACACTCAAGAAGATCGACATCCAGGACAAAGCAGCCCACTTGATTGGCACCACATCCACAAGCATCCATTCCCTCCACTACTGACGCTCAGTAGCAACAGTGTGTATTATCTACAAGATGCACTGCAGAAATTCACCAAAGATCCTCAGACAGCGCCTCCCAAACCCATGACCACTTCCATCGAGAAGGACAAGGGCAGCAGATACATGGGAACACCTTCCCCTGCAAGTTCCCCTCCAAGCCACTCACCATCCTGACTTGGAAATATATCGCCGTTCCTTCACTGTTGCTGGGTCAAAAACCTGGAATTCTCTCCCTAAGGGCATTGTGGCCAACCTACAGTAGGTGGATTGCAGCGGTTCAAGAAGGCAGCTCACCACCACCTTCTCAAGGGGCAAGTAGGGATGGGCAAGACATGCTGGGCCCAGCCAGAAACACATCCAACAAGTGAATAAAACATGAAAAAGCTTTTTCATACAATGTGTTTCAAGTCCCATGAACTCTCAAAACTCCTGAAGAACTGTCGTATCAGATTCAAAATGTTAACTCTGTTTCTCTACTGATGTTGAGTTTCTCCAAGCATTCTCTGCCTTTGTCCCACTACCTCTACAGCTTCCATGCAGTCTTTCAAGCGAAGTGACCAAAGGTGGGACATTTGAGGCCAGTCCTGAGGCCTCGTCCTTGCGGGCAGTGGTCATTAAAGCTGGCGAACCGGAACGGGATTCCCACGTATTTACTTTGGACAGGAGTTTGCTGAACGTAAACCCCCAGTGCCAACTGATGGTCAGGGACTTGCTGCTGCGGGTATGATGGGCTGAAGGGCCTTTTCCCGGTGCGGTAGATCTTTCCGACTCTTTGACTCTATGTCACATACAAAGATCGCCTTGCGTTTGGGACCATATCTTACCTTCCTGTCAGTCCTGTGTGGGGTTTCCATGGCTGCTGCTGGTCACAGTCTCGAGTCTGCTGCTGAGTCATCAGAGACTCGGTTGATTCCGTTGATATGAGATGGGTCTGTGAAAATATGAAAGAGAACATTGCACAAACATCCCACATAGCTGTTGATGTCCCAATTATCCTCAGGGCTCCCCTCCTGCCCCGTCCTCTCACTCCAGCCCCAGTCAAACACCTCCCTGTCATAACCACCTGTCCAGAAGGATTGGAGACTGAGAGAAACTGCTGTTGTTTTCCTCAGATCAAAGGAGGTGAAGGTGAAATTTTACAGCTCGGCCAAAATTATTGCTTGCCAAAAATAAAAACAGAAACTGCTGTAAAGAGCCCAGAGAGGGAAGCAAAGAAGATACTTTCCCACGATTTAGCTATACTATAATATACTATAAATAAATGTTCTCCATTCAATTCTAGTCTGTAACTCATGCCTGGGAATCTGTTATTCCATAAATACACCACCTGAAACCCCTTCCCCCAATTAAATTCCAGTCTCTAACTCACACCCAGGTATGAGGGTGGCATAGTGGCTCAGTGGTTAGCACTGCTGCCTCACAGCGTCAGGGTCCCAGGTTCAATTCCACCCTCGGGCGACTGTCTGTGTGGAGTTTGCACATTCTCCTCGTGTCTGTGTGGGTTTCCCCTATGTGCTCTGGTTTCCTCCCACAGTCCAAAGACATGCAGGTTAGGGTGGGTTGGCCATGCTAAATTACCCCTAGTGTCCAGGGATGTGTAGGTCAGGTGTTTTAGCCATGGGAAAATGCAGGGTTACAGGGAAAGGATAGGGGTATGGGGCTGGGTGGCATGCTCTTGGGGAGTTGGTGTGGACTTGCTGGGCCAAATGGCCTATTTCCACACTGTAAGGATTCTATGATAAATCTGTAATACTATATACACATACACACTGAACCCTTTGATTACATTCCAATCAGTAACTCATTCCCAGGTATCTGTTATTTCTATATATATAAACTGCCCAGAGCCCCGTCTATTAGAACCCAGTCTGTAACTCACTCCCAAGTAGCTGTTATCCAATGTATCAGCCTTTGGTGGGTCGGGCATCTCTTCACTTCCCGACAGATCCCTGTCCTGGGTTTCTGCCTCCGAAGGCTCTTCCTCCTCCTCATCCACTTCCTGGATGGTGGGCGTGCCCTCTGAAGGAGGAACTGAAGTCTTTTTCTTTTTTCTCCTCTTCTTCTTCTTGTATTCTGGGCGAGGGAGCTTCCTCCTGAGGCGTGTGTGGTGTGGTAGGCGAGTAGAGAGCGGATGGTGAATGTGGTGTGACGTGTGTCGATGATCTAGAGATTGCACACAATGGCATTGAGTATGACAGGATGGAGGAGTGAATCCAACAGCAAAACTGGAGCCTGTTTGTCTTTCTGCTCACACAGAGAGCCAATCCCCACCCTACCGCATCTCACTATACCCACAAATGCATAGTAACATAAAAAGTAGGAGTGGACCATTCTGCCCTTCAAGCCTGTTTCACCATTCAATATGATCATGGATGATCATCTAAGTCAGTCCCGCGTTACTGCTTTCTCCCCCACACCCTTTGATCCCTTTAGCCCTAAGAACTATATCCAACTCATTCTTGAAAACGTTCAACGTTTTGGCCTCAACCACTTCCTGACAGAGAATTCCACAGGCTCCCCACTCTCTGGGTGAAGGCATCTCTCCTCATCTTAGTCCTGAGTGGCCTACCCCGCATCTGACCCCTGGTTTTGGACTCCCCGGCCATCGGGAACATCCTTCCTGTGTTTACCCTGTCTAATACTGTTGGAGTTTTCTTGGTTTCTATGAGATTTCCCCCCATTCTTTGAAACTCCGGTGAATATAGCTCCACCCTCACCAATCCAATCTCTGTTTCTACGTCAGACCTGTCATCCGAGGAATCAGATTCTCCAATCCTTTCTTGCTAAGAATGAGTGTGTTGGAATAATTGAGGAAAAACTGTTTTCAGAAGTGGAATTGTATGTAACCAGAGATTCAATGGAATTAAAATTATTGGCAAAATGTTAAGGGGTTGATCCTTTCTCATAGCAAGTTCTTGAAGTCTGGAGGATGCTGCCTGAAATAATGATGGAAACAGATTGAACAGGAACTTTCCAAAGGGGGAATTAGAGAAATATTTGAAAGCGACAAACTTCTAAGGGCTATAAAATTCTAACATGACTAAACAGGTTAGATGCAGGAAGGACGTTCCTGATGGTGGGGGAGACCAGAACCAGGGGTCATAGTTCAAGGGTAAGGAGATGAGGAGAAATGTCTTCACCCAGAGAGCGGTGAGCCTGTGGAATTAGTGAATTCAGAAAGTGGTTGAAGCCAAAGTATGTGTTTCAAGATAAACCATTTGTGGCTAAAGGGATCAAGGGACATGGGAAAGGGCAGGTTTTCAGTATCGAGCTCAAAGATCAGCCATGATCATACTGATTGGAGGAGGAGCACGATTGAGAGGTTGAATGGCCTACTCCTGCTCCTATCTTCTATGTTTCTCTGTTTCGATGTGAAGTTCAAATTCAATTTTAAAAAGTTGGAATTAACGTGAAACGATTGTCAATTGTTGTAAAAACCCGTCACTAATGTCCTTTAGGGAAGGAAATATGTTGAGCTTACCTGGTCTGACCTACATGTGACTCCACATCCACAGCAATGTGGGTGACACCTGACACCCTCTGGGCAGTTAGAGATGGGTAATAAAGGCTGACTCCAGCCAGCAATACCCACATCCCATGAACGAATGAAAACAAAATGACATTTTGAAGGAGCAAGTCACTCAGTCCAAGGGCAAATAAAGATGGACATATCCCATGAAAGAGAACAAAATAGGGGCCGGGAAAGATGGTCTAGTCTAACAGGCTGGTTATAAAATAATGCGCAAATAGACTCACACTGATAGGCACTCGCTCAGGCAAACACACTCGCACTTACATTCAAAGTCCTTTTCGTTATAGGTTCGCTCAGGTTCCCGTGCAGGGCGATCACTGATCAGATCACTTAGTCGCTCAATGCCCAGCAATTTGTCCAGCTCTTCCTCCTCTTCCTCTTCCACATTTGGCTTCTCGGTCTCATCTTCGACCTGCAAACAGAAATGGTTGTAACACCTCACTGTAGGGCTCACAATGACTTCAGTCGCCATTTCCCAATGCACATCTCCATAGTTGGTGCTGCTGATGTAATTGACAATAGCACATCTATGTTTGCACACTCAGTCATGAAGTCACATAGCACAGAAGCACCCCTTTGACCAATCAACTCTCTGCTGACCTATCTACACGAATCCCACTTTCTAAAACGTAGCCCATAGGCTTGACATTTCAAGTGCTCATTCACACCACATAAGTGCCAGGCTATGACCATCACCAATAACAGACAATCTAACCACCATCCCTTGGCATTCAATGGTGTTACCATCACTGAATCCCCCACTATCAACATCCCGGGAGGGGTACCATTGGCCAGAAACTCAACTGGATTCGTTACCTAAACACAAGGGAAGGTCAGAAGCTAGGAATACTGCAGCGAGTAACTCACCTCCTGACTCCCCGAAGCCTGTCCACCATCTACAAGGCACAAGTCAGGAGTGTGATGGAATACTCCCCACTTGCCTGGATGGGGGCAGCCCCAACAACACTCAAGAAACTTGACACCATCCAGGACAAAGCAGCCGCTTGATTGGGACCACATCCACAAACATCCACTTCCTCCACCACCGACTCTCAGTAGCAGCAGTGTGTACTATCTACAAGATACATTGCAGAAATTCACCAAAGATCCTCAGACAGCACCTTCCAACCCCACGACCACTTCCATCTAGAAGGACTAAGGCAGCAGATACATGGGAACAGCACTACAACCACTGGTAATTTGCACACTGACAGGAAGGAGAGATCACATCTGCAGTGAGACATACCCAGACTGGGACTTTGGAGGCAGTGTGGGAATTCAGTGCAAAGGGGAAAACGTGGCTTTTGCAATTTTTTTTTTGTTCATAGTTTGTAAGGTCTTTGTAATGGGGAGAGAAAGGAGAAATTAGTCATAATTGGGTATAGTACAGTCAGGGAAATAAACTGTTCTCTGTAGCCAGGATGAATAGTCCCAAAGGCTATTTTGCCTGCCTGGCACCCAGGTCCAGAGTATGTCATCTGGGTTGCAGAGGAACTTGGAGTGAGAGGGGAAGGATCCAGTTGTTATGGTCCATGTAGGTACCAACGATAAAGGTAGAAAGAGGATAGGGGTTCTGCTGAGGAAATACGAACAGTTGGGAGCTAAATTGAAAAGCAGAACAAAAAAGGGAATAATCTCTAGATTGCTACCTGAGCCATGAGCTAATTGGCACAGGATCAACAACATTAAAGAGGTAAATGTGTGGCTCAAAGATTGGTGTGAGAGAAATGGGTTCAAATTCATGGACATTGGTAGCAGTACTGGGGAAGGAAGGGGCCGTTCCCAATGGGATGGGTTCCACCTGGATCAAGGACCAGAATCGTTGTGAATTGCATAAACACGGCTGTGGAAAGGGCTTTAACCTAAATAATGTGGAGGTATGATGGTGGAAGGTGGGGGACGCTCAGTTGCATGGAAAATCATGCGAGAAGTTCAAGGTGGGAGGCTCAGACGAAGCTATTAAAGTTTCCACGACAAATCGTAGGACAGAGATTATGGAAAGGCTCAACAATGTGACTTCAGGCACAGAAGATAAGGGGACAACTATGAGAAGGGGGTGCAGTCAACATGGGACTGAAGGTGTTATACTTAAATGTACACAGTGTATAAAACAATGTAAATGAGCTAATAGCGCAGGTTAAAATTGACAGGTGTGATGTTGTGGGTATCACAGAGATGTGGCTGCAAGGTGATCAGGGCTGGGAACTAAATATCCAAAGAGATTGAAAGGACGGGTAGAGGGGACAAGGTTACTTTCTTAGTAAGAAATTAAATTAAATCAATAGCAAGAAATAAAAAAGAGCTGGAAGGTGCAGAATCTGTGTGTGTAGAGTTAAGGAACTGCAAAAGGGAAGACCCTGATGGGAGTTGCGTATAGACTTCCTAGAAGTAGTCAGGATGAGGGGAAAAAAGTAAATCAGAAGATGGAAAATGCATGTAAGAAAAGCACTTACAATAATCATGGAGGACTTTAACATGCAGGTTGACTGGGAAAATCAGGTTGGTAGCTGATCTCAAGAAAAGGAATTCATGAAATGTATATAACATGTTTTTGTGTCGGAGCAGCTTGTGGTAGAGCCCACTGGGGAACAGACAGTTTTGGATTTGGTGATATGTAATGAGGCAGACTTGATTAGGGAGCAGAAGATGAAGGAACGCCCTAGGAGGCAGTGACCACAACATGATAAAATTCACCCTGCAGTTTGAGAGGGAGAAGCTGGAATCAGATATAACAGCATTACAATTGAGGAAAGGGAACTACAAAGACATGAGGGAGGAGCTGGCCAGAGTTGATTGGAAGGGGAGCTGAGCAGAGAAGAGGTGGAGCAGCAATGGCAGGGTTTTCTGGGATGCACAGCAGAAATTCATTCCAAGGAAGAAGAAACATATTAAAGGGAAGATGAGGTAATCCTGGCTGACAAGAAAAGTCAGGGACAGAATAAAAACAAAAGAAAATGCATACAATCTGGTGAAGATTAGTGGGATTGAATTGAATGATTTATTGTGACTTGTATTTCAGGGAAAATAGTGTTTGGGAAAACCTTTTACCCTGTCCTCCTCCACCAATTTCTCATCCTGGCCCCTTGATAATTCAGTATTTTTGGAATGCTATTAATGTATTCCACCATGAAGACTGATGTGTTTATTCAAATCCTCTGCCATTTTCTGAATCCCCATTATTATGCCTCCAGCCTTATTCCATAAGCGGCCGGTGTTCACTTTGGCCAGTTTTTTTTTCCCTTTTGTATCTTAAAAGAAATTCTTACTGTCTCTTTTCATGTTACTTGCCGTCGTGCTCTCAGTTCATTTATTTCCTTGTTTTGCATTTTCTGTTGTAGGCTTTTAAAATTTTCCCAATATTGATTGCTCTACAATGCTGCCATATCTCTTTGTTTTGTAAGCCTGCATATGCCCCTCCTGTGCCATGCTCCCCCCAATTAGTTTCAAGCCCTCTCTACAGCCTTAGCTATTCAATTTATTAGTGCAAGGGTCCCACTACTTGTAAGTTCAAATGAAGTCATTCTCATCAGAAGAGCTCCCTCCCACCCCAGTAGTGGTGCCAATGCCCCACAAAACCGAAAACCACTCCATCCAAACCAATCTTGGTGCCATGCATTTAACTCCTTGACTTTATTTACCTTGTGCCAGTTTTCCTGTGGCTCAGGTGGCAACCCAGAGACTATTACTGCTTTTTAGTTTACTTCCTAACTGCTTGAAACCTTTCAGCAAAACCTCCCTTCTAGTCCTACCAATGTTGTTGGTACCAACATGGATAACCACCACTGAATTTCTCCCTTGTCTCTCCAGGTTTTTCTCTAGCCCCTCTGGGGGGGTCCTTAGCCCTAGCATAGGGCAGGAAACATGGCCTTCAGGGCTCCCATTCATGGTTGCAGAGAACAGTTGCAATCCCCTGAGATATACTGTGCTCTACCACTCCGACATTCCTGTCCCTTCCCTCCAATTGATTGGCTCTCTGTTCCAAGGTGAGGTGGTCAGTTTGCTCACTATCCCAACAATCTCCGCTCCCATCCATTCAACTCGCAAGATTCTCATCACAGAGGCTGCTCGAGATCGAGTCCCTGTACCTGCCTCAACTGCAGTCACACCTTCCCACCCTTGATCACAGATCAAGCTGGAATTGCTGCGGTAATGGGATGTGGCTACCTCCTGGGGCAAAGTGGCTTGGTACCTTGTCCTCTTTCGAATGTGGCACAATGTTCACTGCTCAGATTCCTGCTCCTCCTACTCACTTCCTGTTTAAGTCCATAAAAAATAGAAACAGGGTGGGCCATTCAGCCCCTCAAGCCTGCTCCACTGTTCAAAAGGATCATGGCTGATTTGACATCTCTCATGTCCACTTTCCCGCAACTATTTAAACTGTGTAACCGCCAATTCCCTGACCAATCAAAAATCTATCAATCTCAGCCTTAAATATACACAAGGACTCTGCCCCCACAGCTCTCTGTGACAAAGAGTTCCAAAGACTCACAACCCTCTGAGAGAAGAAATTCCTCCTCATCTCAGTCTTAAATTGGTGTCCCTTTATTCTGAGACTATGCTGTCTGGTCCTAGACTCTCCCAAGAGGGGAAACACCCTCTCAGCATTGACCCTGTCAAGCCCTTTAAGAATTCTGCATGTTTCAATGAGATCACTTCTCATTCTTCTAAACTCCAGGGAGTAGAGTCCCAACCTGTTTAGCTTTTGCTCAAAAGACAATCCCTCCAAAACAGGGATCATCCGAGTGAACCTTCTCTGATCTGCCTCCAATGAAATTATATCTTTCCTTGAATAAGGGTAGGTAATCTGCACACAGTACTGCAGATGTGGTCTTCCCAGCACGTTGTATAGTTGCTGTGAGACTTGCCTACTCTTATACTCCAACCCCCTTGAAATAAGGGCCAATATTCCATTACCCTTCCTGATTCCCTGCTGCCCCTGTGTGCTAGCTTTCTGTGTTTCATGCACAAGACTCCCAAGTCCCTTTGTGTTCCAGCTTTCCGCAGTTTCTCTCCATTTCAATAATATTCTGTTCTTTTCTTCTCCCTTCCAAACTGAGCAATTTCACATTTTCCCACGTTATACTCCATTTCCCAACTTTTGCCCACTTAGTTAATCGGTCAATATCTCTCTGTGAAGTGTTTGAATCCCGCTCGCAACCTGCCTTTCCACCTATTTTTGTGTTGTCTGCAAATTTGACTAGGGTATATTCACTTCCTTCCTCCAAGTCATTTCTGTCTGTTAAACAGTTGTGGTCCCAGCACTGTTCTGTGTGGAACCCCACTGGTCACTGTAGCAATTGTAATGAGGTCAGCCAGGTGGACCCATAGAAAATGAGTTCCCTGATTGGGGCTGTTAACCTGGTCCAATCAGGGAGTCCTGGCTGACGGAGAAAAGGGGAGTGTCAGAGATACTGGCACTCTGAGAGCTGACTCTGAATGAGGCAGGTACTAAAGTCAAGGACAGTTCTAGTGTAAATAAAGGGTGACTTGGTGATGGGATACCGGCCTCTGTGGAGTCATTTCAATCATGGATTGTCAACTTGAAAAAGAACCCCTCATCCCCCACTTGCTGTTCCTTGCCTGTTAAATAATTCTCTATCCATGCCAATACACCAACACCGTGGGCTGTTTTCTTTCACTGTGTTTATCTCGCTCTTTCTGTCACCAAATATTACTCACCAGGTGTAAACATGTGGGGGCATCTGGTTCCCTTGCCCCACCAGCTGCCATGTCCACTTGGCACACAAGTTCAGAGCACTGGCCAAATCAGCCCTTCTCTTTCACTATCGTCCTCTCCACAACCATTGAGGATGGCATAACCTGAAAGAAGAGAGAGAGAGAGAGAGAGAAAGAGCCCTGATACACTGCTATGTGAGGGGACAGAAACAGAAGGAGAGGAAACACTGTGATGCTAGCGCATGAGGGAGAGAGAGCATGGGTGAAGTTATTTTCTGAGGGCTCTTCTGAGAGCTACTATTTTGATTTTCACCAGATACACCTTCATTTCAGTAACACCCTTCATGCGATGTGATGCAGTCAGATCACAAACTCACTTTGTGCATTGGTGTTGGCACAGTGTACTTACATGCACACTAGAACAGAATTAGACAAATTCAACAATATCCACGATAATTATCAAACCTCCATTAAAGTTAGAGCCACAAGACTCAAGGAAAATTTAAATTTCCTCAACGCCACTGTATTTAACAAAAATTCATTTGGTTTTCAATAACTGATAACGTCTTCATAAAAGGATTTGCATGGAATTTGTTCACTGTGATTCCACATGTTTCTGGCTCCAGTTTAGTTGGCTATTCTTCTATTGGGAAGCTGGTGGACTCTCTCCATCTCTCTCTGTTCTTTTGCAGGCACTCTCTTCTACTGCCTCTCCTTCCTAGCCACCCTCCACTCCCCTCCCCTCACCCCCACCATCAAGCCCTGACCTCTGACCTCAGACCTCACCCCCGCTGACTCCTTACCTCCCCCCAGCCAATAACCTCAGTCACCCTCAGATCCACCAGCCTGTCTGGCAAACCTGCTCTCCCCAGTGACCTCAGTCCGACATCCCCACCATGTGCCTCAATCTCCCTTTCATCACCTCTGCCCTCACTCCTACCTTGCTAACACTTGCCTTCCCCACCTCGGGCCTCACTCCCTCCACCCCCACTCCCACTACGCCAACCTCACTCCTCCCCAACCTTCACTTTACCTTCACCTCAGTCCAACCTCGCTCCCCCTCCCTCACTCTGCCCTCCCGTACAGACTCATCCCCTCCTCCACTCACCCCGCTCCCTCAACCCCACTTCCTCACAAATCCCTTTCTCCTCCTTCACTCCCTCCTCCTTACCTTCTCACTTTCTCGCCCACCCTCACAACCCTCCCTTTCCCTCAGTCCATCAATTCACCCTCCTTTTCCCTCACTTCTCCATTCTCCACTCTCACTCCCCTCCTCTGCCCACAGTTCCCCTTATCCTTCTCTCAATTCCCAGCACCCCCCTCATTCTCCTGTCTCTCTCTCCCTTCCCTCACTCCCTCCTCCACTTTCACTCTTGCCTCCCTCACCATCTCCTGCACCCTCACTCCCCCTTACTCTACAGAGAGAGAGAGGGAGAGAGGGAGAGAGCAATGATACAAGCTATGGAGGGTAGAGAGACAGAGAGAAGGGGCGAGGGACAGAAAGAGTGATGAAGAAAGACAGTGGCACTAAGGAAACAGAATACAACAGAAAGTGAGCTTGAGGGATAGGAGGGATAGATCCAGGCGAACAGAGTAAAAGAAAGGGACAGAGAGAGAGAGGGAAAGAACTAAGGCACAGATATATGAGGAACAGAGAGGCAGAGTGTGAGACAGGGAAACGGAGATAAAAAGAGGCAGAAATGGTAACAGAGAAAGAAGGAAATCAAACCCTTGTCTGTACTTCAGCGATCTGTGAGTCCGTGATAATATTGCTGCCTGGAGTGTCTGTGCTTTCTGAATGTTTAACAGGTGCCAACAAATAATTGCTCAGCTAATAGAAAACAGCGTCTTGTTGTAGCCTGACTTAGGGAAGATGCTAGTCTTCTTGCCTGGTTAATAATGCACCCTTTACACCAGTGCATCAGAGCAGAATACAGTATCAGCCGTGACCTGAACAAGGAGTCACCAGTTAATTCCTCACCAGCTGAAGAAGTCTTAAAGGGGCACTGCTCTCCTGTAATAGATGTTCCTCAGAGTTTCACGAGAGCCAGTTCTCCCAGGACACAACGCAGTAAAACCAGCTTTCCAATCAGCTATTCAGTTTACCTCTGAGTAACATGGCACTGCAAATCAAAGCCAACTCACCACAATTCCGAGACAACAAAAGGTGTTCTCATCATTTGGCATGGTCTCCTTAATTCATCAACAGGGTAAAGGTCACTCAAAGTGTAACAAAATAACAGTTTATTCACAGGAAGATCACTCGCTGTGTAACCGTACAAAGCCAGTGTTTATTCAGCAGGGTAAGGGTCACTCACTGTGTAACCGTACAGGGTCAGTGTTTATTCAGCAGGGTAAGGGTCACTCACTGTGTAACTGTACAAAGTCAGTGTTTATTCAGCAGGGTAAGGGTCACTGTGTAACCGTACAGGGTC